CATAACTTTTAGTTAAAGGCCTGGTGATGAGTAGGCAGTGCTGGCAGCACTGATCCTCTGTAGCCTGTGTGAGCACTCCACGTGCGCGGTGGTTTGATAATCACACACTCCCATTAGCTGCGCGTGTTTACCTCCGTTTCACAATGAGGTGAACCCTTGAGAGGTTACGTAACTCCCAAGAACATGGATGGTAAGTGGAAGAGTGAGGACCTGAACCCTCTCTCTCTCACCTTATTTATTTAGTTACTAGAGGCCCGATGCACCGATTTGTGCACCCGTGGGATCCCTGGGCCGGGCCTGCGGGGATCGGGGTGAGACCTGCTCTCTGACATCCCCCGAGGGGTCCCAGAGTGCGAGAGGGCAGGTCTCGGGTGACGCACCCCGGAATCGGGCTCCCTCCTCTCTGGTTCTGAGTGCGTCACCCGGGAACTGCAGCTGCCAAGTGACTGTAGCTCAGCAGCTCCTGCATTGAGTGCCTGTCCCCTGGTGGTCAGTGCACGTCGTAGCTACCCGTCTGATGGTCGCGTAGGCTTTTATATGGATAGATACTAGTGACTGAACAAGTGGTTTCTTACACTTGCTCATTTTCAACTTTCTTGAGCTGAGATCTCAGCTCACTAATTTTCTGTCACCCTAAGTATTACTGTTAAGTGCACCCCACATTTTCTGTTACATGGTCATCCTCCTTTATCCACAGAGTGTACTTTCCAGGACCCCCAGTGTGGTGCCAAACCCTATATATATGGGACAGAAGTAGGTTTACAGCTGTTCATATGGAAAGTAATACAATCCTATCCTATGTAATAAAAGGCTAATATGCAGATCGACCGAACAGAACGACCGGTCGCTCTGACGTGCACTGACCACCAGGGGGCAGGCGCTCAGTGCAGGAGCTGCCCCTGGTGGTCAGTGCGCTCCCACAGGGGGAGTGCCACTCAGCCAGAAGCTCTGAGCCAGGCTCACAGCTGGTGAGTGCAGTGGTCATGGCAAGGATGTCCGACTGCTGGGGAGCGGGCCTAAGCCATCAGTCAGACATCCCCTGAGGGCTCCCGGACTGCGAGAGGGCACAGGCCGGGCTGAGGGACCCCCACCCGCCACCCCCAGTGCACAAATTTTGTGCACTGGGCCTCTCGTAATTAATGTGATACAAGAATAAACTCTGTGTCCTGGCTGTCTTGGTTGGGGTGTCGTCCTGTACACCAAAAAGGTTATGGGTTTGATACCCGGTCGTGGTACATACGGGAGGCAACCAGTCGATGTTTCTCTCTCACATCGATGTTTTCTCTCTCTCCCCTCCTTTATAACTGGTTCGGCGTTCCAGTTGTAAAGTAAGTTACGGGGAGTAAAGTGTGGTCACTAATACGCAGGGACTGTGGTGATGGAGGTGAGCAGGGTTGCCGTGGCGACCACATTGTGAGGCGCAGAGGTGTGGAGTCACGGCGTTGCACACCTGAAGCTGAGGTGGTGTGTCAGCTACACTGTAATCTTTAAAATCTGGAAAAGCTTGTTCATTTCTGGAATTTTTCATTTAATGTCTCGGACTGCAGTTGCTCACGGGTAACCGAAACTGTGCAACTGACCACTGTGCTCTCTTCTTGGTATTTTATTCCAGGTATTTACAATTTTTAATTTATTAACTCAGGTGATTTAGGTGCCCCCCCCCCCTTTTTTTGAGATGTGAGTTTTTCAGGATATATTTTTTTCAGGTTCTTCTAGAGTTTTAAGAAAAAACACAACCTACTAGAGAAAAAAACGTGATCGTTTCTTTTCAGAGGGTGCGTGTGCTGTTTCTGTGATGGTCCCGACGCCCTGAGGCTGTGACTGCGTGGTCAGTCCTGCTGCGCCTCTTCTCAGTGTAGCCCCCCATGCCCGGTCTTGTTCTGACCAGCACAGGCCCCGCGGCTCGCGGCGCTGTCTCCTCACCTCCCTCCACGGGCCCCACAGGTCCCACAGGCCCCACGGCTCACGGCGCTGTCTCCTCATCTCCCTCCACGGGCCCCA